TTATAGTTTACGTTTGATGTCAATCAGTTTAACCATTATGTATATGTGTGTGTGTTTATTTTTATCAATCAAATACATCTTAACAATAAATGAAAAAAATAAAACTATTTAGACATTATGAACGTCTGTAAAAGAGAGATTGACTTTAAAATTGAAATTCTCAACAAATAATAATCTGAATACCAGACCACCTTTCTGCAAATAATCAGTGAAGTCGAGTGCGTTTTGTTCAACACTGAAACGTTTACTGGTTTCAAAACACTTTTTAAAGTTTGTACACTTAATTTGTTAAGTTTGTATTGCATGAATCTACAGGGAACATGGTGAGTTCTCTGTGAAGGTCTATATTTAAATCTCTGGTGTTAATTAAATTTCTTTATCATGTCTTGAATCCCTGTTTTCAACTTATTGTACACTAGCAACTATCGTAACTATTTGTTTAACGTCATGTTTTCATGTTCAGATTAGAAATAACACATAGAAAGTTGACTTTATTTTTGACCGGCTTTGAGTAACACAAAGTATCTGTGTTCAAGAAAGAGTCATTTTTAATTAAGTCTATATAATAATTAAAACTATACTTAAATATTGACTTCTCTATCCAAATTTAAAGCAAAGACACTCTACACATCAGAATGATTGAGCAGGGCGTATCTCTATCATGCTGAGAATATTTATCAGTGCGAAAACATATGCAGTTACACAATATAATGCATTTCAAATCGGTTCAGTTATGATACATTATTGAGAAGTATTTTAAAGGACGAAACATTAATAGCTTTATACAGACGTAAATAAAGTATTAGGTAGCGATCATACAGTCACACTGAGAACTGTAGAAGTTATTGTTGCACATTAATTCTATACATAATACATTATGACATGGAAAACTTCAAGTTAGTTGATACCCCACAACGAGGAATGATAGCGGTTCCTTTTAAATTATACCGAACTCATTTACCATAGTGTAGAGAATCTTTCCAAAAATCAGTAAAGCAAGAAATTCAAGAAGTTCACACTGCTGTATAAATCACAATTATAGCATTTTACATTGAAGTTTATATTTGTATGTAGGATGGGACTTAAAGTGGTGTCCCGTGTTAGAATGTCCAACTCAAACGATGAAGGTCATTCTTTGTAATGTCGATGAATGATAAGTATTCACGCCGACAAAGAGGCAAGGTTAGTATATCTAAGCCTGCTTCATGATTAGATAATAAATATTGTTTGGATATTATACAGACTTTGTAAATACATACTACACTAAATTACCATAAATATATCCCTCCAATCCTCTCCTGCGAGCACAATGTGACTAGTTTCCAGTGGTCTTCAGTTAGGATAATTTTATAATATAAAACACCGGAACAGCCGATTCCATCTCTACCCTATCGCCTGTCCTACTCTCTAATGTCACTCATTGATATACCCATTCTACTCACTTCCGGTAAGTCTGTTACAAAAGCAACTAAAACAACAAGAACACAACAACATGTGAACAGAATCATAACCAAAATGAAAATCAATAAATCTAGGGTAACAAAAGATAAATAAATAAAGTTTATATTTTATACTACTTCATCCTGTATCTATTGTATATCGAGTAATCCTTGTAGTTTGTGGTACATTGCAACGTAAAATGGTTATGGTTATCCAACAGTATCCACGAATTTTAAAACTTCGGATTGATAGAAATTGTCTGAACACACACAAGTGGACAGCTAATTTCAATTTAGAATAAGTATAGCGAAATACTGAAATAGACTCTTCTTATAGCTGTTATACTAGTGATGTTAATTCTTGAAAGCTAGGTAGCGAATTCTTGAAACCTAGGTAGCGAATTCTTGAAACCTAGGTAGCGACTGAGAAATATGAAAATTGTCCAAAAAAGTTAGAAAAACTTGTGGGGAGATGAGCCAGGTTTTTAATAAATTTAAATAAATTAAATGTTGGATAATTTGGTAAGAATACCACGCGAATGTTATATTAACAGTGACATTGCGTCTTCCGTGCTTGGCATGTAATTAAACAGCAGACGACTTACTTGAAGCAAAAAGACGAGTGCATAGATATAAGCAGTAATATTTCTTAAGAGCATACATATATATTTTTTGATTTGAATACTTTTAAAGACGATTGTAGAAATAGAATTCATACTTCTCACAATACATTTGACATTTTGACCACTATATCAATTCATTTATTTCAAAATACCACCTTTTTATAATTTCCAAAAGGAAATCTAGTATAACTGTTTCATCGTAAACATTTTAATTACCTGTAAAATTTTCCACTTGTTTGATGCTTGTTTACACAAGAAAATTCAATCCTGGGTGTAATTGTCAGGCATGTTGACGAGGTGGGATGCAAACGCTCAGACCTGAAAACGAACAACAATAAACCGAGCTAGTCGCGAGCGCTGCTCATTGGTGGTAACAATACATACAATAGTAGGCACTTCAACAACTCAATCAAAGATCAATTAGATCGGTTTCAAGGAGGCTTACTCTACAGAAGTGTCAATAATGTAACTTCTCTCTATAATTGCTCCGCATTTCTAATACAGGTCTTTTACAGTGCTTGATAACTAGTATTAAATCTCTCTATGGAAATCTTATTCAAAATGCCATTTCATCGACCAAAATTACATAACATATTAATTTGATAATTGCTTTCACATCTCAGCGATCAATGTTTTTGGTATTAGTAGTAAAACGGTGCGGTTTACAAACACGGTTATTCGTATCTCTACATCGTTTACTCTGTCAGATATTAGTGCCGAAGTACACATTCTCCATTTCTACAAAGTTGGATGTCAATTTCTGTCTCTGGATCATTTCATACGAGAAATACTAGTAAACATCCATTGTGTGATGAACCCTACAGTCATTGTGTGATGAACCTTGCATTTATTGGGATTTCAAATCAGTTTATATCTGCGATATCGACAGCTGTGGTATAGGACTTACTAAGGGTCAGGTAGGTTGTATGTAACCTCAGAGAGATATATAGCTTGAATGTGTATGAACTAGAAATTGGTTTAGAGGGATCTTGTCATTCATTATTACTATAATAACCGATGTCTGATAATATCAGGGATAACTAATTGTGAAGGAAATGACCCATATCATGACAATGTTGGCTATGCTTGAGTGGTACCATATAAATATTGTGCACAAAAATAAATATATGTAAATAGGTATATTTCAGAGTGTATCAAGGAGACACCAATTGCAGACTATATGAAACAGCTGTTCAATAATAAAGAATAGTCGAGTTCAAACTATTTTTTTTCAGTTTCCAAATAAAGATAATCATATTTATACGATATCATAGCTATGATAAGGGTTGAAACATCATTTACTATGCTTCGTTTCTCCTTTAGTCCGAGAACGCAACGAAGTAATATACCTTTTAAATCAGATTCGGTTATATCAGGCCACTATGGGTCGCTCGACCGTACTGACAGGATAGTGGAGCAATCTGCTGATAGTTGGCCAGAAAGCTTTCAGCGTAATTCTAAATACGTTTTTATACTTAATATATCTACCGTAACTTATTAGTTTTAAAAAGAGGTAGTAAAACTGTGCAATAGCATCACATCTTTAATTTCCTACATTAAAGATAATCACACTATCTTTCAGTCTCGTGTTCTGCAATATCAACAAACCAGACGGATTCTGTCCGATATCCAACAGCCAGTAATTTACACGGTGACAATCCGCCGACAATGCACTTGTTTGACCACGTGTTTCAGTTCACTCCAGTACTATGTACCAATCGCCCACCCTAACTACCTACCAGTTCCCTAAACCTCAAATCTGGCAAACACACATACAGTAAACTGTAGTGCTTACTAAACCTCGGTTATATTTGTTAATACATGGCGCACCTGCCATTCACTTCAAACTGTGCCAGTCTGGGGCACGACTTTACGCCCTTTCAGTGTTAGAGATGGAGTAGTGGAGTGTAAAATACTGATTTATCGATCATTTTCATTCATGAACGTAGGAAATGTTTTTATTTTCGAATGGACGACTCTAGTTTGATGTTGATAATAGGATTTTTCCATGATGTTGAGCATTTCCCGGCGTTGGATAATTTAAGGTATATGAACTGTAATAGTCCAAGTGTGGATCTTATTTTCTTAATGTAATTATTTATCAGAAAAATTTTTAACGGAATACTGTCGTGTGATACTATAAGTCTATATTATGCGGATGTGACAATGTCTTCTAATTCCATACTATGTAGCTGTGTTATGTTGATATGATGGTTAGTTATGGTACGTTAAAGTATTATCTTCGCGTTCAGTGTCTTCTTCAAAATACTAACAACCGTCGTCAGAATTACGATTAGATAGGTATATATGTTTAATGAATATTCATGAGAGTAAATTAGTGGGTGTCAGTATCATGTTATGTTTTAGTATAATTGTTTCATTTTTATATGTGGTACAGTTGTGAAAATCAGGTTTATATGAGAATGTGAGAGTACTACAAACAAAGTTATGATTTTCAGTTGTGTACATAAAGGATACCAACAAGTAATAATGTAACGTGTTTACAATACAGTGGCTAGATTTATGTGGTAAACGATGACCACGCCATTCCGGAAATTCCAATTCCGTCACTAGTTTTGTTACTGAGCAGTGCCGTTTTCTCCATCTTGTCTTATCTCACCTATTTCAAGTTCAGATACCATTCATGTGTTTTACCAGTGTGTACATTGTTTTATATCATATTTCGCTATACTAACCTTGTGTTGTATGCTAATTACTATAGTAAATGCTCTGTATTTTTTATATATTACAGGACTGAGGAGACGTCAACGGTGTGAGTCCAGTGACGTATTGGCCAAGATAATTACAGATTTTTAAAAAAATCCAATCACGTGATCTACCGTTCTCGTTGACCTACGAGACATCATTCTGTCAGAATAACACACAAGCTGAAGTGTTATGCTGATAAATCGTTCTAGAGTTTTTCAGTTAGAATATTATGTCAAGCCCAGAATCCTTAACAATGTTAGTGTTTGGGGTTTACGAGGGCGATCGGATGTCCATAGACGTCCCTATAGGGGCGAGCGTTGGAGAAGCAAAAAAGATGTTTCAAGAAATATTTGGCATATATGTTGACGATTTCAGTAAAAAAGACCGCAAGGTCGTCGTGTTACATTACAGCGGTAGTGACCTAGAGGAAGGATGGTGCTTTACGGATCTCGGAATTCCTCCAGGGTCAACCATCAAAATACACATGAAGGAGGAGATCAAACCAGTATTATTTGTACATTGTACTTATAACGATGAAATTATCGATATTGTGGATAAAACACTCGTCGTACACACGATGAAGGTAGAGGATCTCCGGACAATTGTTGGTAAACGGACTGGCATCCCCGTGTCTATATTTCGCTTAGTGAACAATGATGGCCAAGAAATGTACGACGGTCACGAGCTGTACAACTACAATGTAGAAGCAGGAATGACATTAAAAATGGAAAACTGGGATGGTTGGAACGAATTCATTAATCTGTGTATAATGGGATTTACACCACAAGTTCTCGCCCAGATTCCTACGGACGAAGTCATCTCCCGCTTTCAGATGAAAGTGGCTCTCTTTATTGCGGCCCATTACGGTTGTGTTGATTTGGCGCGAAGCCTTATTCGTCAGGGTGTGCGAGCCGACGAACACATCGGAGAACATCCGAATAGACAGTGGTGCAACGAGAAGTCTCACATGGAGACCAAAAAAGCCCCGATTCACGAGGCGACAGAAAATGGACAGCTCGGAGTGGTACGGTTGTTTGTCAATCACGATATCACTGTAGTTATGGCTAAAGATGGTAATGACTTGAATGCTCTTAACATTGCGCTTCGAAAAAAACAGAAGCCGTGTGCATCATTCTTGTTAACTCGACAATGGACGAAGGTCCCCGTAGGTAAATTCGGTTCCATCACCGTTCAGAGTTTGCGAAAAATCAAGTCATGGTCCATCCGTGCTAAAGAAAGAGCTTTTGCTAAATATGGACAAACACGATCGACATTGAAGAAACGATCATACACGTGTGGAGCTTTAGTTAGCTACGGTCAGCCAGTGGTGAATGGTTTCACACCGAGCCCCATGACCGGTAAACCTAAAACTGAAATGAAAGAAAGAGAAAAACAGAAGTCCATTGATACTTTCCACGAAGTCTACGGCATCAATGGTGATCCTGAAAACTACTTCCGGCAGATGGGATCTCTTGCAGGTTTAAGGAACCTTAACCGAAGACGGAACACGAAGTGGGGAGCTATGATCGATCGATCTGATGTTGCTGTTCAACTTGCAGGGGGATTGAGCAACGCAATTGAAAACGATTTAGAAACGGAAACAGCATATTCCGTTAAAGGCCAAGGGGGCAAAACTCTAGCAGAATCAGTGATATCAGAAGCGGACATTCGACCAAACAAAGGTAAACGACAACACGGATATGGAAGCTCTATAGACCAGGTGGCCGAATACAATGCTAAAACAACTTTCGCAAACAAAAACGTCCGCGGCGGAAGTAAAGCAGAGCACCCTCTTGATGACGACATAGGTGACCCAAATACCAAATTGCCTCCCTTGTCACACAGGGGAAAAATACACGGTGGTAAGGATACTATCAAGGAGGAGGATGAAGGCGAGATGTCTGACAGCAGTATAGATAAAAAGTACAAAGCAAAGTATATCCAGACTCCTATCAACAAAAAACCTGAAAAGTCTGCCAAATCAATACCAAGCTTACGGGGAGGTGGTGGGGAGAAATCCAAAATGGCTCTTAATGCGGAAACACCGGCATCCCCGCGAAGTGTTGCAGAAAAATCCGAAAAGTCAGACAAGAAATCAAAGAAGAAGAATCGTATCACTTCGTCGGTGTTGTTGTCAAAAGCAAAGGCTGCGTCGGAAGGAGCAGTTCCTTTGCCACTCATCAGCACGGAAAACATCAGCAGACCTTTCTTTTATCACAGGGGTTTACGTGAGGAAGATGTCGTGCAGCCAATCTTAGACCTTGTATCAAAATACCAAGGGTCGACATCACGTGACCGTGCCATCAAATCAATGACTATCGCCAATACGTTCAAGGAAAAGGCCTGGCTCAGTCAAATTCGGATGGCAATGGCCCTTACAACACACACCATTCGGCGGTCTGTCGCCAACTGATTCGTCGGGCGTGTAGATACAATGTATAGTACCACCTTCAGTATTGTCCTAAACGTCTCGTATACGTCTGTCTGACTCTGAAGATTCCAGATAACTTTTATTTGTGCATTACAAAATTGTACTAGACGAGTGGATTTGAAGAGTTGAACATAAGTCGCAATGTCAATGTTGCAGATAACAAACATTTTGAGATTCCCAGACTTAACCAGATGCTCAAACAATATTCTATGTGTTGGTATGATAAATTTCACAAATCGACATATATATTATATATTCATATAAATACTCATTGTGCTATACTTGGACTTATATAAACATTCCTAGCAGTCTGTGATATTGAAGTGTCATCGGTCTGAACGGCTGAAATTGTTGATATTTTTGACAGTTTTGGAAACATGATTTCACCATGAGTGGATTTCCGTGTAGAGACTGAGCATTATTTAGTAAAACATTTGTATTGAACGGTACATTTTTTATCCATTCATCGTATAAATTAAATGTGATAAAATATAAGTCTAGTAGTTTTTGTATAGTGTTCCATTAACATTCCCACCTCATGGCGGAGTATTTTCGAGTTTGACAAAATGCGACAACATTGAGTGTTCTTTTAGTGACGCTATTGATTGTGTATGCTATCCTGTTGACATTGTGGATTATGTTTTGTGACGTCATGGTATCGATTTTCACGGTGACGTGCTTTTTTATTGACGCTTTTTGTATTCGGTAAACTTTGTTGTTTACGACATGGTTTTTGTGTATGTATTAACACTTTGACCATTGATTTTGTGTTGACGTTGTTTTAATGTTGCTTTTGTGTTGACGTTGTTATTGTGTTGACGTTGTTTTGTGTTGGTTTTGTGTTGACGTTGTTTTGTGTTGGTTTTGTGTTGACGTTGTTTTGTGTTGCTTTTGTGTTGACGTTATTGTGTTGACGTTGTTTTTGTTTTGACGTTGTTTTGTGTTGTTTTTGTGTTGACGTTTTTATGTTGACGTTGTTTTGGTGTTGACGTTGTTATTGTGTTGACGTTGTTTTTGTGCTGACGTTGTTTTGTTTCGACATTGTTTTGTGCTGACGTTGTTTTGTGTCGACATTGTTTTGTGCTGACGTTGTTTGTGTTGACGTTGTTTTTGTGTTTATGTTGACGTTGTTTTGTGTTGTTTTTGTGTTGTCGTTTTTAGAGCTGTTTTTGTGTTGACGATGTTTTTGTGCTGACGTTGTTTTGTGTTGACGTTGTTTTTGTGTTTATGTTGACGTTGTTTTGCGTTGTTTTTGTGTTGACGCTGTTTTTACGTTGACTTTTTTGTTAACGTTGTTCTTGTGCTGTTTTTGTAGAAATATTCTTGCAGTGACGCAGTTTTGTGATGACGCTATCTTTATAGAGAGAGAGTTTGTTCTTGTGTTGACGCCGTTTATAGATGTGATTTCGTGTTAACGAAGACTATTCTGGTGACATCAAATTTTCTGTATTGACAATTATTTGTTTTTATGTTCCTGAAAAATGCACCTAACCATTTCAACCCACGCACAATGTAAGGATCGAATAATAGAATGATTAATTGGACTGGATTTCACTTCAACATATAACGTGCCCCTATGTAAGGTCACGGATAATATAATTATATACACATAAGACGCCATATACAGACTGGAAACACTCACTTAAATAAAATCTTAAATCGGTTTAATTAGAAAAGTGTTATTACAAAAGAGACTTAAGGAGCTTTAAGGACCTGCCAAAACATTGATTAATGATTACTATGGACGACTGCCATTCTGTTAACGAATATCGGTGACCATTGTCGGGAAGCCCATCCAACTGGTCTCTTAATTCAGATGGTCTTTACAGGGAATTCAATTTTAAGAATCCACAAGTTTTAAGTACGTATACAAACGCAATGTCATTCGGTCAGAAGTAACCTACAAATTCTGATGACAGTTGTGGAATACTTGTTACTGTTAAGACATTTGAATCAGATGCTGTAACATTAAAAACTTCACTTCCTATACGACAAGTCTTCAGTTGGCATTTATGTATTTTCAGAACATATTCGGAAGCAAAGTAATTCTAAATCATTTCTTCTACATCAGCCGCTTATCTTGATCTTTTCACAACACGATACTAACATGGACAGCTTTCCACCAAACTGCATTATAAACGTGATTATTTCAATTTCCTTATTGTTAATTTTCCAGTCCTGCAACCCCAACTTATGGTGTTTAAATGTCGCAGTTGACTCGATATTCAAAGGCCTGTTCCCTTTATCACGATTTTCGTGCAAGAAGTTGTCATATTGAGGACAAACTCGTAGCACAGGGTCGTCATAGTGATCTCATTGAGAAAAATCGGTTTCTTTGAGCGGTTTGAAGCTGAACGTGTTTGATGCTTGTTAGTGTGCCGTTTTTATATACCTTGAGGACGTGACAGTACTTACTAGGATTGACCAAGATTTACATAGCGTAAGTCGTCGATGAAGCAGAAGACGCTTACTCTTCCGGCACACGTCTTATTCTCCTAGTACTTTTTCAGGAGTCGCTATTAAATCTTTCTTTTGTCCATATTTTGTCTTAGGTTTATTGAATTTGAGTTTGGATTATGATTATGTTGACATGTAGGTATTTGCCTGTTGTAATTTTCTATAAGATCAATTTCTTATATCACTTAGATGAGGTTACACTATATGATTTTGTGTAACATCGTGTACATGGTCTGTACGATAAGAACTATAGAAATTCCATTGAGAAGCCAATGGAAACAATTGCTTTCGTGATCGATGAAAGTCAAAGATGGAAGAAACGGCCTAAATGGAGTGAGATTTGTATGTTTTATTCCTCTATACACCGACTTCCAAGTGGATGTTTCTCCACTACAAACTTACACCGACTCCAAGTGGATGTTTCTCCACTACAAACTTACACCGACTCAAAGTGGATGTTTCTCCACTATAAACTTACACCGACTTCCAAGTGGATGTTTCTCCACTACAAACTTACACCGACTCCAAGTGGATGTTTCTCCACTACAAACTTACACCGACTCCAAGTGGATGTTTCTCCACTATAAACTTACACCGACTCCAAGTGGATGTTTCTCCACTACAAACTTACACCGACTCCAAGTGGATGTTTCTCCACTATAAACTTACACCGACTCCAAGTGGATGCTTTCCCACTATAAACTTACACCGACTTCCAAGTGGATGCTTTCCCACTATAAACTTACACCGACTCCAAGTGGATGCTTTCCCACTATAAACTTACACCGACTCCAAGTGGATGCTTTCCCACTATAAACTATGTAGCCTTTTCTACAATCAAGACACATAACTGTACTTGTCCATAACAGAGACATTGATACGATTAATAACACTGATTAATTAATAGTATAAAAGTCTAAATTAATAGCTTTATCCATACACGAGGGGATATCAAGAAGACCGGCAGGAAGAGCAAGATTACTGAATTATCCTGCTTTATTTCATATTTTAACAAATTCCCTTTCGATATCCACGCCCTTGTTCCCATCTATTTTGACGGTGAATGATACCAGATTGGCATACTTCAACATCTTCGTCCTTAAACCAGCTCTCTATAGCAGCCCTCGGATAATCATCCTTGTAAAATCATCGTGCCCGAATGCTGTTTTTCTGTTTGTGAAAGAAGTGTCTGTGGGCTCCGTCTGGAGAACAGGATGAGTGAGGGAGAAGTTATAGCCACACTACTCACACAGAATCCCTCGACGGATTTTTCTGTAGCGTTTCTCCTTATATCACTCCACATTTTACCATCGTCCTGTAAAACAAGAGATCCAACAACTTGCGACTAAAGGAAACCTACAAACGAAATCGGAGAAAGATCCATCCAGTACTTCCCAAGAAATAGCGATAATAAGAATTGTTTATAGACCTGATGAGGACGGACGGACGGACGGACCACAGACGTAGGGCGATTTAAATAGCCCACCAACTGCTGTTGGTTGGCTAAAAATATGTGAGACTCAAATTTTTTTAATATGCTCTCCCAAATGTACCAGCTAAATAAGAAGACTAATTTCTTGAATGTAATGTCTGTTTTTCTCCTGTTTAACCAGCTGCCAGTAGTAACACACATGAAATACACAAGCAGTTTGAGCATGGTTTATTTACAATGTAAATACACAATGTACTTCTGTATAACACATGCTACATCAATACATTACAATCCTTTTACCAGAGCAGATACAATGTTTATCAAAACAAATATGTTTGTTATAAATGTAGTCTCTGGAGACAAAGTTCGTCACTGGCCTAGCATTGTGGTACAAAGTAGTTTTACAGGCAAATGCTGTGTACATCCCATAAACCATTTACTAGAGTTTGAAATGCCTGGAAAAAAGCAATTGCATCAAATATTTCTGAACAATGAAGGTCGTTCATAATGTCAGATGAGAAGATATAGGTAAATAATTAATGTAAATACTTATTTACAAAACAGAACTAATTTGATGGCTCATGGAATTAAAGAGTTTTGTATCAATAACTCCACTCTCAGACATGAATTTACAATATTCTCTCACTCAAACATTCACCAGTTCCTGACCTGGTACATTAGGGAGAAAATGGCAGGTACTCATGTGACTAATTATTCACTGATGCACTTCATCCAAAAGACATACAAATAAAACATTAACAAATATTTTTTTAGGATAACTTAATAACAAAACAAACAAACAAAAATTAAAGAATAAAGATCCGACGGGCTTTACCACAGTGACAACCCATGTATATTAAATAGACTACAGACCTTTTGGTATGTACTTGCTGGCTTTATGTTGATATTGATTCTATAGTATTGTCACAACCATGGTAACTTTAAGTTCATATTTTTGCTGATTTCATTCATTTTTCCTTATAAAGGTAGTCTTCTACACATTCCTTCATTGTTTGTTTTCTCCATGTGACATCTCAAAATAAGCTTGAATCAAAACTATTTTATTTTAGAGACCATGTAAGTTCACCAATATTTGTAGCAAAGTTGTGTTACATAAAGAACAGCTGGATCTCACATTTGTTTCCTTTTGATATTGAATTTCTGCAACTAATTAATAACTATCTGCAGCTTGACCGAGGCTTTTTAAAATCATTAAAATACTAGACCTGTTTTATACATCAAATAACAAAATTTACCTATCACTTTCAATGTACATTCAAAATACTTTTTTTAGTATACTAATTCTATTGTAGACTAATAGAAAAAAATTAACTGAAGAAAAGTGGTGAGTTTCACATGAAAGCAAGGAAAAGGTTTTTAATAGGAAGCTATATGTACAAAGATTGTAGGGAGAATCCTTAATTTTCCTTCTAAGATTTCAGAGTGTTTTTAGGAGTTCCACAGCACACAATACTTCTCAAGTCCTAATCTGCTCATCTTACATGAAAGACCAAGACAGACTTTTCTTTTCACAATGTCTTGTTCGACAGTTCACATTGCAGACTATCCCTTGTCAATGCACCCTATCTCAGCTGCCAGTCCACTTATCACCTTTAAGTCCACTAATTCATCAAAAGAGAGATTCACCTATGGCTTGACCACTTGGTTTGTCATTGGTTGGGGACTATTTCATCAAATGATAACTAAGATCTCGTTAATGTGTTGATCTTTATTGCATCAGTGGGTAGGCATCTCTTTCACCTATGAAGTGACCCCTATTTCTCCACTGGGCTTACATCAGAGACATTCTACGATTTGCACTCTCTGCCATCTGTAGGTTGACCTCATTTCAACAGACGATCGATCCATATTTCAACCAATAGCTGACTTTTATTCTACCTGTGAATTGACCTTTTTAATCCTTGGATTGACCTCTAGCTGTCACGATCGTCTGAGTTCTATTTCTCAAAGCCAGCACTTAGCCTATCGAAGTCATCGTTAACAGATATTCAAAAGTATGATATCTAAGATGACTTCAAGGTCAAAATATGACCTCTATTTCTCAGACAGGACAACTTTGAAGGTCAACATCACTTTGATTACTTTTTATCACAGTTTAACTAAATAACCATTATTTCTGTACCCTATCATAAATTTCTAGCATTGTCACACCGAAGTTCCATGCGAGGAATCCTTATTATCACTTCTGTGCCATCTGGTCTCACCATGGTATAGTTTCCCCTGTAACCATGGAAACGCTATTATTAATCATCATACGCATCAATTCATACATCTTGCTAAACTCAGGAAGATATAGATTACATAAATTCTATTTATAGATTAGAAAGCATCAAGATAGCATTTCACTTCTCTACACAATCCTGTAGAATATATAACATGTAAATCTTTAACTAAATATTACAAACACATACTTGAGTAATGCTGAGTTTGAAAACAATCTGCTATTTTCCTTTGAATTATACACCAGTAACTATAACAACCAGAATTACCATGACCTAACAAACATTGAAAATCTCCCTGATTTTTACATGATTACTATACATGTTATAGTCCCACCAACAGTCTATATACATGATCTAACTGCTATCAGTATTTCCTTATCAACAAGTTTTAATATAGTAAGAAAATGGTACTTACCATAAACTTCCTCGAGGAGAATTGAGGTGAACGAGAGACACATATTGATAACATTTCGTGTCAGGGGACAGGATTGGCTCCTATAAACACACAAACAGAACTAGTTTAAGTTTGATTAATCCTAAAACATATACATATTGTATGATCAGCACAACATATTTCAGAACAGATGAAACATGACAGTGTAGTCCAATAACATACATGTCATCATTAAAAGAAACAGTGACTGAAGCTTTTTGAGTCAGGATCTAAAATGGATTTCCAAACTCACACTAATGAAAATTTTTCATGTAATTGCACACATTTCAACCTAAATAAAGTTGAACATTAACAGCTGATATCTGTGTGAAGTGGATAAAACATACAAAACTCAGGGTACATGCATGACTTTATAGATTGAAGAAAAGACAATGTGAGGGCTAAACAAAAATTTTTTTTATTCCACTGGATTATTTCCAATCATAAAAATTAGTCCTCACTTTGTAGAGATAAACTCAATAATTTGTTTCCTTATCAATGGTACACATATATCACTGGGAAAAAATTGATGATGTTATCTGTTTAGGTGATTAATGATGAAAGATAGAGGTGTCCCATGTGGAAGGTCCAAGTGGGATAACCCCTACATACATTTTTGTGTAGGAAATACCAGGTAAAAAGGACCATGTGGGATAACTCCTACATACATGTATGTGTAGGAACTATAAGGGTCCATGTGGGATAACTCCTACATACATATGTGTAGGAACTAAAACGGTTCATGTGGGATAACTCCTACATACATCTGTGTAGGAACTAAAAGGGTCCAAATAGAATAAGTTCTGATAGTGATTAATTATAGGTAATAACACCAACATAACACCCATTCCCTGATGCCAGTGAGTTCAACATCTATCAAGGTTAAACAGATATATATATATATTCTGGTATATTTGATCCATGAAGTAATAACAACAGTAAGGACAAGTGAATTGTCAAATTTTCCAGGCAGTCTGACCCTTTATCAAGACACAAATGATAGATAAATTACATCACACACATAGAACGATGGTGTAAATTTACGTGTCTTGATAATCCCATAGGCTGATGGATGCCGCAGGACCTTTATAAGGGAGTAGGAACATTAGTGTCTTTGTTCACATAACTTAGTACTTACCTGACCTTCTATTGAAGGCCCACGTTCAGTGTTGATTTTAGATGTGGAAGTACAAAACACAAACCACTCCCTATTTCTCAGTTGGAGTATGTCCATACCCAGGTTTTCTATCCGGACACAATACATCCACTGAAATATAACATTACATCAACACATTACTATAAAATGTATTTTTGTTATTAGACATTTTACAGATATATCTCCAGAACCAAGTACAACACAATCAGTCTTTTTGTCTCGATCCAAAACGATACCAATATCATGTATTATGTATTAATGTTGTAAATGACACTAAGAATTTGATATCAAATCACAACAAAATAATGTCCCTAGAAAACTGACAAAGAACACTAAAATGTAAAGTACTCATACTTACAGTGAATGTTTTTATTGGTTTTGATGTTTTCATCTGTAAAAGACAAAATATATTTGACACTACTAGCTTTAAGTTTCACTAACTCACAAAATTAAAATTTAAAAAAGAAAAATGAAATTTCTAACTGAATATATAAAGAGGTGCTATACACTCACACTAATTATTTGCATTCAAAATAATTTTAAACTAGATACTATCTTGTTAAAATATGTTGCTATCTGAACATTAAATATGGAATTCTTACTCTGTCTTTGTTCTTAATTATTCACATTAAACAGCTGATCAGTAAGACACTTTTTTCTAATGTTTATACATCTCAACACCTATACAGAATGTTTTATCATAACCCCTGATGTATATTGTCTCCTCTCATACCTACCTCAGTATATTGACTTGCTCCTAAAAAGAATGGTATACAGGTGACCTGGATGTGTTTTGTTGTTTCCTTGTACACAACATTGTCCATGTCGGACCATGGAATGTGTGTCTGTATTGTAATATTCAGCTCTGGTTTCACACGACATGCTGGCACTATACAAACATGTAGAATATATTTTAATCTAATGTTTTACTGCAATATACTTACATATATATCTCAAAGACGTTAAAACATTATAGGAAGAAATTGTCCACACAGAATAAGGAACGTGATATGATCAGCTTCACTTTCATTCTTCAACTGTGATTTGTATAACACATAATTATTATAAAATCACAAACATTTAGATGATGTGTACATCACTATGTAAAGAAGGTAAATTTTGTCCAAAATATGTGAGACTCAGGATTGATGTGACATCACTTAATATTGGCTGGGATCAGAATTCTAACTGTAATGACGTACTCAGTGGTGTCAAATAGACAATTATTCTTAATTTTCATTTTTGTTTTTTTATTATTGTTTATTATAATGGCACAAATTAAATTTCTTTCCAAATTAGTTTTTAGACATTATGTTACATAATTTTACTTAACAAAATCACAGAACTAAATATGACTGTTCCTGGCGATTTTATAAACAGACATTCTAAGCCAATAGATAAATTAAGAAACATAATATTAACACTGATAAAAGCACTAAATCATTATTTGCCTCTATTTATACATGTTATTCAATGTGTCTTCAATCCAGTGCTGACTCACAGGAAACAAACACAAGTTTATTTATAAAATATCAAGATCAGATTCAGACAATATATAATGTAATTTCCTTTAGATATAAGGAAAATAACATTGTATCCTATTTCTAATTGCCTGCAAAAAAAGACCTATAATCAAGTCAACTTAACACTCAGTATTATATGACCAGTGTGCCCTATTGCCCTCCCGAATTACACAGAATCTAGATTGTTTACCAGTCTATCATACCTTTGTCCTTGTCATAATCGAAGTATGACTTGAAGACTTCATTGGCGATCGGTATTTCCTCTGTGCTGGTGTAGGGTATGATGTCGTCGTGATTGACAATATCTGTATTGCTGACTTTACATACAGTTGCAGATACACCTGAAATAAACAGCAGCATAAGATATTTATTTCTGACCATGCTTAACAGATTCAAAATTAAAATCTAATCCAACAGCCAGGATTATAATTAGTGAACAACTACCAATAAGAAACAGTTTGGCAGTTTGACATGTTAAAAGGATTCCAACTCATGTTAAAGGCATGGTAGATCAAAAGCTGGTAACCAAAGACACCACCATGGTAGATCTAAAGCTGGTAACCAAAGACACCACCATGGTAGATCTAAAGCTGGTAACCAAAGACACCACCATGGTAGATCTAAAGTTGGTAACACAAGAAACCACTATGGTAGATCTAATGCTGGTAACCAAAGACACCACCACGGTAGATCTACAGCTGGTAACCAAAGACACCACCATGGTAGATCTAAAGCTGGTAACCAAAGACACCACCATGGTAGATCTAAAGCTGGTAACTAAAGAAACCACTATGTTAGATCTAAAGCTGGTAACCAAAGACACCACCATGGTAGATCTAAAGCTGGTAACCAAATACACCACCATGGTAGATCTAAAGCTGGTAACCAAAGACACCACCATGGTAGATCTAAAGCTGGTAACCAAAGACACCACCATGGTAGATCTAAAGCTGGTAACCAAGTTTATTTATACCTATTATCACACATGATGTGAAGTTGTAAAAATGATATAATATAAGCTTTGTTTCCTGTGACCCTCCTGATGTCCTGCTCAAAGGAACACTGACATTCCACACCCATTTACTCACCATTTCTGTCCTGTAAGTAATGCATTGCTGCCACCTGGTTCCTCTGAAATAAAGCAAGAAGTCTGTACAATACAATATTCATTGATTTGAACTTTTCCCTCAAAAAACCAACAATGTCACCTAAAGGAGTTAAAAAAAAAGATAATAAATAAATAATAAAAACATGGACGATGAAAATAAGATTTTAAGCTTTTGGCATCAGTAATAACTGTATTTCAGAGTAAGAATACGGATAGTATGATTTAAATATATACCAAAAATGTATTGTACTTCTAATTCACCAGTACAGTATTGTATGTATTGTACTTCTAATACACCAGTACAGTATTGTACTTCTAATACACCAGTACAGTATTGTACTTCTAATACACCAGTACAGTATTGTACTTCTAATACACCAGTACAGTATTGTACTTCTAATACACCAGTAAAGTGTTGTACAGTATTGTCCTTCTAATACACCATTACATTATTGAACTTCTAATACACCAGTACAATACTTACTTATTACACACTATTACTGTATTGTACTTCTAATTCACTAAATACAGACTGTATGGTTCTCAAATACAAATTTGATGGCAGCCATGTAAAGAAGAGCTTTAGTAGGCTTAACTTCCACAGAAAGACATGTATATATAGACCAAAGTACATATAATATCATTTGAACACTCTATTCACTTTACCTTATATGGAGAGTCGCGAGGATCACTCAATACCATATAATACTGCTGAAAGCTTCGTTTGATACGTTTAGTGTCACTGTGGTGAGATTTGACATCTGTCTGCTTGCTACAAAGGAAATATAACAATTGTATAGGTACTAACAATTCACAGGAAACATATACATGTACAAGGTAACAAATTCTGATCATATTATTAGTGTTTTAAATCACTTACAACTATGTACTATAGGAAATACAAAATTACTGTACATATATTAACAATTGAAAGGAAACATTTAAAATGTTTATCTACATCAAAGGAAATGTTTTCATTACAATTTTTTCAGTAGTGAGTAATCAGGAATGGTGTACATGTCTGTAGATCAGTTCCCGTTCACTATAAACATAATCAGTTTTTGTCAGGTATAGATATGCCATGGTAAACATGCCTAGACTTCTCTGTGGTTTTAGCAGAAATTCTGAAGTGTTACCAAAAACATACGTAGATTTCTTCATGTTTTTAACAGAAATACTGATGTGTCAAGTAAACATACCAAGATTTTTCCATGTTTTTAACAGAAATACTGACATGTTACTGTACGTATTCCCAGATTTCACCTTGCTTTATCAAAAATACTGACATGTCAACAATAACATACCCAGGTACCTAGATTTCTCAATGTTTTTTATTAGAAATACTGACATGTCACTGCAAGCATGCCCAGATTTCTCCTTGTTTTTTAACAGTAATACTGATGTGTCCAGTTAACATACCTAGATTTTTCCTTGTGTTTATCAGAAGTATTGACATGCGTTATATCAAGAATTCGACTGTTCCAGGAGAAGAGAATTATACCTCTGTAGAAAAAGGACTTGTGGAGGAACAGCTACAACAAAATCAACAAAACATTTGAGTTATATTAATAGACTTTATATAGCATTGATTATTTAAGAACACCAGTTCAGCTATGTGCATAGATGGCATGGATTCTGAATATGAAGATTGTGTGTATGTGACTCATTACCTTGTCAAAATGTGTTTAATGGTCTAAATTGCAAGAACATTATTCCAATTTCAGAAAAATTAATGATGAATATGCAAATATCAGTATTATGTCCCTGTATTTTAAGGAGATCAAGGGAGGAAATTTTTTTTATTATTTGATACAGTGTTTGTTAACATCAATAAAATGACATAAATTTTCATTTTGTGATTTCAGCAGATCGAAAGTTCTGGTCAAGTTCAGTCTTTGCTTAAATTTGTATCTGATCAGAAAACTACATACATGTATGGAGTCATATATCATTTTATAAATCAAACAATCCATTATTATATCATCTCTCAAATAATTTCATACTTTGGCAATGCTGATATGACTGGCTCTTTAATTTCTAATAGACTTTATGTGAATTTTTCATCTTTTATTGTACATACCTGTCCTGGATCATAAGGGATATCTGCACTTTTTGCTTCCTCACATTTTCCAAATTCTTTTAATCTTGATCTGTAAACAGCAAACATTTTCTGTTACTTGAAATACAATGCTACAACATGAAAATATTAAGCTTAATAAAATAAAAGAAAAAACACTATAATAATGTATATTGAAATGTTTTCCACCTGAAAACTATCACAGTCTTTTATGTCTGGAAACTGTCACAGACTTTTCCACCTGAAAATTGTCACAATCTTATCCACTTGGCAGACCAATAAGTTTTTAACATGCTATCCAACTTGACCAGTAGAATTTTGGCCCTCATTAAGGGGAAACTAAGCTTCAAAATTAGCAGTATCAGTATCAGTTAGGTCTAAAACACTACAACATGACATAAATCATTTCAGTCCATGTCAAGAACAAATGAAACCTGTACATGTTGATCCAATTAGGAACAACAAAACACATCATTTTAAACACGGCTGCTCCCATGCAATGACAGTCATGGATAAGGTTTTAGAGCTGTTAAGGCTTAACAAGACTTTAACAACAAATCAGGATGTACAAATTCAAAAACACAGTATAAGATCAAACCATTTCTTAATGAAATAAGTGAAATGGTCAAATGTACACAGACAAAGTTTGCAAATTGCAATATCAACTTAACAAGACAGAAATTGGAACTTCAAATGCATCCTCTCACCCTGGATGGTAAAATTCTCTCAACTTATGTTGACACTTTGAAGTTGATTACATATTATAATGTTCATTCTTTTCTATATCAGTCTAAATGTTGTTCATAACAGATAAGACAATTCAGTGAAATACAGTTTCCAGCAGAAGGTTAAACTATATGCAAAACCATTTTTTTCTTCCATGTTGGTCAATGATCACAATGTAGGTCACAGTGATCTACTTTTGATACGTGACACACCACCTTACCAACATGAACCCATAGGCATGAAGTTTCAGTGACTAGTGGCTAACACAATCAAGTCATGACAAACCTTTTCTTTGATGTAAAAAGGTCAAAGATAAAAATGTAGGTCAGAGTGACCTACCTATGATCTGCTACTCACTGCCTCACCAAAGTTAACCTATACCCCAAGTATGAAGTCCCAGTGACAAGTAGTTCAGAAGATTGAGTTCTAACCAGAAAGCAAAGGAATGGGCAGAGGGATGGACAAATGGATGGACATGACACAAGTCTGTAGTCCCCTCTGGTTCCTAGAAGGAAATGAGAGGGTGCTGTATTATCATAGATGACATAATACATTGATGTTCAAATACGTCCTCTTATATCCTGGGATCAGATCTTGAATTATGGAGAGTACAACCCATGGTTCTACTACTTTTATCCCTGTTACATAAAAGGCTAGCCAATGTCTATAGCGTATATGCCTATACTGTACACACCTATAATTTCCCAATTATTCTTCGATACAGCCAGATTTTCATATTTGCTGGTGGCCCCAGTACGGGTATAAGTGGAAAGAAAGACTTGTAAGAGTCTTGTGTTGTCTGTCTCTGCCTGTAAGAATAGGGATCTTGACTTTTTAAAGTACACGTTGAGGAATGATATAAGAATATCTGATGGGATCTGATGGGACAGCTATGTAGCTACTTTGTGGTGAGCAATTATGAAGAATGGGTTCGAAGTATTCTAAAATAAGTTATAATGTATTGGGCATATCGAGTTGTAGGAAAGGCAAATGACGCACTTATTGTTTAATTTTTAATAACACAATACATACGTTGTGTAAAAACGTTTCCCACATTGACCTTCAGCACTCAGATCAGCATAAATACGCCGACAAATATGTCGAAATCCTCCACGAAATATGTCCTTGGCCATTATTTTCTCCGGAAATACAATAAATGCATGTAATTTTAGAGACGTTGTATTACACAGATATCCGGAAAGTTAAATTTGTTAACGATACTGTATTTATACACACAAATTCAAACAATTATACACTTATTGATTTATTTTTTCTCAGAATTGTTTGTAGTCAATTCAGGGATTATATTGATATGTTAATTCATCGACTAATACGTGTATTTATCTACAATTAAGTGGACTGAATTTTACTTGTGTTTTCACCTCTGTATATCTAACAATAAGTCACCGGTTCGGTGTAGATCAAGGACATAAAAAAACATCTATTGGATCCAGAAGAATTATATTCTGAAACGCATGAACATTTGAACACTAGATCTAAATAGGTAATAATAATAAACACAGAAAATATTAGTAGAAAACACTTTGTTATTCGCACAGATAAATGCAAGAGTTATCTCCCTGTATACTTCGAAATCCCACATCACTTCATGTAATGATTACAACAAAGTATCAAAATGTGTTTGAAACATACATTTGTACAGGTATCGTTGAAATATATTTGATATACACGTGTTCGCGTGCTACATGTGTGTATATAGTGATACAATGTCAGGCTCTAAGTGATGTTAGTTAGATTTGACTTTACAGTTAAAATAGCATGTAAGAAGCATATATGAAGAAAAACCCATTCAACGAGGCGGTACATCACAAATATCATGTCATGCCGTCAGTTCAGCGTCCGACGTCGGAGCGTGAAAACGTCAAGGGATTAACGTGAACTCTCTGGGGGTTGACAAAAGACACGAGAAGAAATCGTCTTCAGGAACGTAAAGTTTATGTTATGAATTTATTTATGGCAACTAAAGAAATCACTGGAATTAAAATGTTGAGAACATCTTGAAAAATGTTAAGATATATGTACAAAACTACATCATCAGTCAAAAAGAAGCAGAAGCTATGTAGTGTTACAAATGATTTCAAGAATTCGAAGTCTACAGGGGGTTGACGTGAAGTAGGCTTTATTTGACGCAAAACAAGGAGAGTGAAGTCTGCGGAGAGCCAACAAGAAGCGTAAAGTCTTTGTGGGTGAAGATTTTTTTGGGGAGAGGAGTGAAGTGTTTGGGGGTGTTGACAAGATATGTGGAGGATGAAGTCTTTCTGTATCAACTACCATATATCAATATAAGAATATAATCTAAATGTTGACAGAATCATAAACATTTTTTCTCAGTACAAAGAAACATTTTCTTTGGAATAGATAGGTAGCTGTCTCGATAACTTTTGGGGAGGAGAGAAGGGAGCGTGGGGCCTACTCCGACATAATTTTGGATTATTTTTCATAAATTCACCCTTTACATAACGCATTGAGTAACTAGAATTGTTGAGTGGCATCCAATCATTGCAATAGTCAAGCTACATTGATTGTCCGAGTTTTTTTCTCAGTACAATGACTTCATGTATCATTCCAGGAATGTACCAAGAAAAATATTTCTGATCATTGGTAGTATCACATTCTTCTTCTTCCTAGAATGTAAGCTTTATGATAGGGTAAGAACATAATTTTTTCAAAGTATAAACATGTTGAACTTAGATCAAGTGAATTTACATCTATTTTTATTTGGAAATGAAAATCTGTCCCTAACCACCAATACAGAAGTATTCAGACACGTGCAAATTTTTATCAAATCCAGCAACAGATTTTAAGTAAAATGTACTAAATGTTAAATATATTATGTATGCCTTGTTAATGTTATCATGTAAATATTTATCATATATTGTATTAGAGGAAAAGGCGGTCTTAAGTTGAAATAACTTGTGCCTAATCCTTTGCTCAATTTTGGGGCAATAAATATGTTTAAATCAAATAAATCAATATATTCTTGTATCATATATTTTCTGTGTATTTCTGTAAAAAACGGTCACTCTCCTTGATTCTGATAGCAACCGTTTATGTAAGTATTATTGAAGTATAATTTCCGACCAAAAAAGAAAAAAAATCCTACATAATCAGTTCTTACCCGACGCCATAATAGTTTTATTGAAACCCAAAGGAATATAGAATATCAGCGTAAACAAAATTTGTTTGTAAAGCACGAATAGGTTTGCTTTCTGTTTCTCGCTGTAAACCGAAACACACAGCCATACCTTTTCCTGCGAGGGCGAGGTACCATGAAATAAGACTCCGTTGTTTTGTTCATTAATTATTCAAATGGCATCATTGTAAAACGACCCTACTTACATCATACATCTACTCTGATTACTTGTATTTCATTGATATGGACCTAGCAACTCGAGCACAGCATACTGTCATTACAATCATGTATTATATTTACTTGTATGAGACATAGAAGTGTATCAGTGCTGTCGGGTAAGTCCTATACCTCTTAGAAATAGCCATGATTTTTCTTTTTCTTCTTTTTATCTTTTCTTTCTTTTTTTTTTTTTTTTTCGTGACCGGTCGCTGTTCCCTTTCAAAATAGACTTGAAAGGAAAACGCATTATATTTCGCTGTCATAAATCATTATGTAAATTATACGCTCTACGAAGGAAAGTTTCACTTTAAAGCCATTTTGAACATTTGTAAATGAATATACAATGTACATGTAGGCGTGACCTGTGTAGTTATGTCTTAATAGCTATTACTGAAGTAAAACTTTGACGTCAAGCGTCACGTGACCTCGATTCGTATCATAAATATGCATATTCACCAGAATAAGCTGAAGGGGACCAGCTTTTCGGTTGTCTGTGTGCCGAGAGACGGGATAGCACTATCTTAGGTTGAAATATGGCATTGTGAAAATCGTGGCCAAAACCCTTTATTGTTAGCGATTGTCATATTACCCACCGTATTGGATGTTTTTACATGTAACCACAATTAGAACAAGATGTTTACATGTTCTCAGGTAACGTAATGACACATACACAGGTATGGTCACTTATGTAAGTTGGGCAGGTAATCCATAGTAGTCAGATAAATTATACGATATCATAAACCCTGTACAATGAGTCGGATAAAGTCTGTTATATCACAATCCCTGTACAATGAGTCGGATAAAGTCTGTTATATCTCAAACCATGTACAATGAGTCGGATAAAGTCTGTTATATCTCAAACCCTGTGCAATGAGTCGGATAACGTCTGCTATATCTCAAACCATGTACAATGAGTCGGATAAAGACTTATATCACAAACCCTGTGCAATGAGTCGGATAAAGACTGTTATATTACAAACCCTGAACAATGAGTCGGATAAAGTCTGTTATATCTCAAACCATGTACAATGAGTCGGATAAAGTCTGTTATATCACAAACCCTGTACAATGAGTCGGATAAAGTCTGCTATATCACAACCCTGTACAATGAGTCGGATAAAGACTTATATCACAAACCCTGTACAATGAGTCGGATAAAGTCTGTTATATCACAAACCCTGTACAATGAGTCGGATAAAGTCTGTTATATCTCAAACCATGTACAATGAGTCGGATAAAGTCTGTTATATCTCAAACCATGTACAATGAGTCGGATAAAGTCTGTTATATCACAAACCCTGTACAATGAGTCGGATAAAGTCTGTTATATCTCAAACCATGTACAATGAGTCGGATAAAGTCTGTTATATCACAAACCCTGTACAATGAGTCGGATAAAGTCTGCTATATGACAGATCCTGTACAATGAGTCGGATAAAGACTGTTATATCACAAACCCTGTACAATGAGTCTGATAAAGTCTGTTATATCACAAACTCTGTACAATGAGTCGGATAAAGTCTGTTATATCACAAACCCTGTACAATGAGTCGGATAAAGTCTGTTATATCACAAACCCTGTACAATGAGTCGGATAAAGTCTGTTATATCTCAAACCATGTACAATGAGTCGGATAAAGTCTGTTATATCACAAACCCTGTACAATGAGTCGGATAAAGTCTGTTATATCTCAAACCATGTACAATGAGTCGGATAAAGTCTGTTATATCTCAAACCATGTACAATGAGTCGGATAAAGTCTGTTATATCACAAACCCTGAACAATGAGTCGGATAAAGTCTGTTATATCACAAACCCTGTACAATGAGTCGGATAAAGTCTGCTATATGACAGATCCTGTACAATGAGTCGGATAAAGTCTGCTTTATCACAACCCTGTACAATGAGTCGGATAAAGTCTGTTATATCACAACCCTGTACAATGAGTCGGATAAAGACATATCACAACCCTGTACAATGAGTCGGATAAAGACTGTTATATCTCAAACCATGTACAATGAGTCGGATAAAGTCTGTTATATCACAAACCCTGAACAATGAGTCGGATAAAGACTGTTATATCACAAACCCTGAACAATGAGTCGGATAAAGACTGTTATATCTCAAACCATGTACAATGAGTCGGATAAAGACTGTTATATCTCAAACCATGTACAATGAGTCGGATAAAGTCTGTTATATCACAAACCCTGAACAATGAGTCGGATAAAGTCTGTTATATCACAAACTCTATACAATGAGTCGGATAAAGTCTGTTATATCACAAACTCTATACAATGAGTCGGATAAAGTCTGTTATATCTCAAACCCTGTGCAATGAGTCGGATAAAGTCTGCTATATCTCAAACCATGTACAATGAGTCGGATAAAGACTTATATCACAAACCCTGTGCAATGAGTCGGATAAAGACTGTTATATTACAAACCCTGAACAATGAGTCGGATAAAGTCTGTTATATCTCAAACCCTGTGCAATGAGTCGGATAAAGTCTGCTATATCTCAAACCATGTACAATGAGTCGGATAAAGACTGTTATATTACAAACCCTGAACAATGAGTCGGATAAAGTCTGTTATATCTCAAACCATGTACAATGAGTCGGATAAAGTCTGTTATATCACAAACCCTGTACAATGAGTCGGATAAAGTCTGCTATATCACAACCCTGTACAATGAGTCGGATAAAGACTTATATCACAAACCCTGTACAATGAGTCGGATAAAGTCTGTTATATCA